TAACCTTGTACCCTCTCTCCTTCAATCTCTTTCCAGAGGACTCTTCATCATTGATGATAAAGGCATCCTTCGACAGATCACTGTAAATGACCTCCCTGTTGGCCGCTCTGTGGATGAGACCCTAAGACTAGTTCAGGCCTTCCAGTTCACAGACAAACATGGGGAAGGTGAGCCAGAGATACCTAGTGACCAAAACATACTTGTAGTTGTAGGGTAGATAAGGTGGTAAGAACAGAGCTTGTCAGATTCATAAAGTAAAGTGGATATGTCTCCAAAAGAAAAAGAGAGAAGGGTGTGGACCATGGGAAAGTTTGGAGAAGAGAGAATATAAAGATTTTTTTGTGTCAAGTAAATAGAATCACTTACTACCGCTAAAGATGGGTGTGTAGGAGGATCTCCTAAATATGTTAGAACAAAACAAAAGGTTGAAAATCCTATCTAGAGATGAAGCATGCCATTTTTGACAAGTGTTGGAGGAAGAACGTACCCCTTCTAAACCATACTTGCTTTTATTGGGGTTTTAACAAAAGTGTATTTTCCCTGTTTTAAGATAATATACCCAAAGGTAGATGGTAGTTATTAATAAATTCTTTTATGTCTTTAAAAAATTCATTCTATTGTATTAATAGAATCCAGTATATCAAGTTCACATACATTTTTTATTTGTAGGGCAAGGGTTAGAGGGTTTTAGGTGGTGAAGATCTAAGTTTTTAAAAATAAAAGGATTAGAGAGGTTTTTGGGTTTTTTTTTTGGTCTGTCCCTGTAAAACCTAAACATCAAGCACATTCAGCATGTGATTTTTGGGAGTGTTTGGGCCTTTTCCTATTGCCTCAGAACTAGTAGCTTTCTCCTTAACATGTTCTCACTGTAGTGTTGTAATACAGCAGAGCCCATTTGGTTTCAGTTTTGAAGTTGTACAGCTGTAACTTTTTTCATCTTGGTCTCTCCCCATGCCCTCCTCGAGTGTAGTTACTGCTGGAATAAGACCACCTGATCCTGATGGAGAATTAGCTTAGTTGTATTGCAGTTTGAATACTCAGCTGCTTGAGGAATCTAGTGTTGGTTATGTATGACCTATACCAAAATTAATGTATTTTTGTAAGGGTAATGTAATTGTGATCAAATAACTACTGATTTCAGATCAAGGGCACAGCTAGCTTTTGTTCTTCATCTTTCCCCCCTCCTCACCTCTGTTCTTTCAAGGCTCTGGTCTTATGGTATGAAAAGGTATGAAGTTGCTAAGAGTCTAGATGAGTGGTTTGTGTTAGAGTGAAAGGCTAATTAATATACAGTGAGTGAGCATTGATACCAAGAGTAATCATTTGCAAAAGGAGAAGCCTGGCTGATTGAAGGAGCAGACACCTGATACTTTATAAAAGTTCAGTTTGAGAACTAATTAATGCCAAGCACATTTAGTATTTCTTTTTGCACTTTGCCTGTGCAAAATGTGTGGAACTCTGCCGCTTCTGATAAACATCTTTAAGTGTTGATCTTTCTGCCTGTCAAGTAAACCGGTATGGTTGTAAATACTGTGAAACCCAGTGACAAGTTAGTAAGGGCTTTCCTGCTTCATTGTTCCTACTTACCTGTGAGGCCCAATTCTTTTTACCATGATTTATAATTGAGCTGTATTTAGGAATTGATGCTGCACTTTGTTCTCCATAGCTTGTTGATGCTTCTTATGTGTAATTGAATCAGTTCTGACTCGGTGACGATGTAAGAAGGAAAACTCCCTATGCCCTTGATGTCTAGTCAGTATCATTTGATCACAATGACTTTGTTCTAATTATATTAAGCCAGGAATGGGTCCTAAAATACCCATCGCTAGGTGCCTCAGTAGCAGACTTCATAAAAAAAAAAGTTAATGCTGTGTTAGGATAAAATGATCTCATTCCAGTTGCACTCATGGGAGTTGTTGTTGGTTAAGTGCTGTCAAGTTGGTTCTGATTCAGAGCTGCGTATAGTGAATTTGAACCGCTGACCTTGTACTTCAAACAGACTTGAGGTCAAATGCTAATCCTGTTGTTAAAGCGCTGTGGAGTTGGTTCCAACCCACAGCAACCCTGTATCAGGTTTCCGAGGAGTAGCTAGTGAGCTTGAACTGCCCCACAGCACCACACCAGGACTCAAGGGGATGGGGATAAAAACAACCACATCCTTACAACTCAGGCTGAGATCAAATGGGCTCTGCAGTGAGAACATGTTAAAGTTTCCTGGGAGCTAGCCACTAGTGGGTTAAAAATGCTGGTTTTCCTTTTGGTTAACAGATGTGAGAACTTAGCCATGGTGCTCCATGCTCCATGGTTGATATTTAGATGTGCCCATATTTTAACTTTTTGGTGTTAGCGCAAATAACTACATAACAATTAGATGGCAATTTCAGGAAAACATGGCAGCTGGTCTGCTATTCAGCTCTTGTTCCATCCATATATTGTGCCCGAAGTTGGTTTTAGTGTCTGACATCTGAAGCTATCTATGTGACATCTTCATATCTTTTGAGCAAGTGAGTCTGCTAGACTACTTGTCATCCTCTTTCCTCAGGCTAGCTCAGCATTCTGAGAAGTGATTGAAGACTGCTTTCTGCATAGTGTGTGAAAACAGCCAGATTGGCTTTTTACTTACCTAAGAGTTGTTATTAGTGTAGTGGTTATGAATCAGGCTGTGAACTGCAAGGTCAGCAGTTCGAAACTACCAGCTGCTATGCAGGAGAAAGAGGAGGCTTTCTGCTCCTGTAAAGATTTACAGCTTCGGAAACCCTGTTCAGGGTTGCTATGGGTCGGAACCCACTCGACGGCACTTAACAACAAGAGTTGTTAGGTGCTATCTATCGAATTGGTTGCGACCCTGTACAGGGTTTTTAAGGACTGACTGGTGAGTTTCAACCGCCGACCTTGAGGTTCAAACCGACCTTGCTGTCTAGCACATTAACCAACCCACAGCATACAAGGACTTCACTGTTATTTCTTTTGTGGGTTTTATAAGTCACTTTAAAGTTTTTGGAAAGAAGTATCTTGAGCATACATAAACGTGAAGAACATGTGAATATCCATTTGCCTTGGGGTCCTGGTGTGGCGCTGTGGGTTAATGGGCCAGACTGCAAAGCCAATTGAACTTCAAGGTCTGCAGTTCAAGCTCACTAGCTGCTCCTAGGAAACCCTTTACAGAGTTAGAACCGACTCGATAGCACTTAACAACAATCCACCTTATTAATATTTTTCCATATTCACTTTTAGAGAAGGTTTATTTTCTGGAAGAAAGCATGCAGTTGAAGATACTAATTTCTTTAAATTTCAGGCATACTTCATGAGTAAATTATGTAGAATAGTAGTTGGGGTTTTGATGAGGATTAAATTATGTAGTTAACCTTGGACTAAAAAGACCAAAATGTACTCAGATTGCAGGGCAGGATCTTGGTCTGAGATCATGGATTGGGGGAAGGGTGTGGTGCTCACCACTGAGTAAGTTACTGATTAATGAAGTCTTTGTCTTCCAGTGTGCCCAGCTGGCTGGAAACCTGGCAGTGATACCATCAAGCCTGATGTCCAGAAGAGCAAAGAGTACTTCTCTAAGCAGAAGTGAGCGCCAGGGTCACTTGATTACCAGGTGGCAGTAATGAGCAGCCTTGAGAAAAAACCAAATCTCTTTTGTAATTTGTTTATGCTTCTAACACAAAGCCTTAGACTTGACTGAGATATGTGCTATGATAGGACAGACCTTTCCTACGGGAATTGAGTGGTCAACCTTTCTTTTTGCTCTGGTGGAAATGGCCTTTAGCTGTACTGTGGGACAGGCCAGCTGATGTGTATCTTGTATCAGTAGTGCAGTATGAATCCATTGATCTTTTGTAGTTTCAATTAAACTTGACCTGAGACCTTAATGCGTCTTCTTCATTTTAGAGGGTGTGTACTTTCTAACTTTAAGAATAATTTACTCTTTGCCTGCCCTCTAAAGGGGGGAAATGAAGAGTGAGAGCTGCTGCAGAACCAGGAAATTGTATTGTGGGGAAATTTAGGAAATAAAAACAGAATTGTTGAAATTTTATTTCACTACCGCTGGCTGTGGAGAAAAGTGTTGGCCATAGTGCTGTAATTTATGCAGTAGGCTGGGTTACAGGTAGGACCCTAATGAAATTATCCGAGCATTTATGTTAACTCCATTGGGAAGGCTGTGTTAAGATCAGATACTTGGCCTCTTCCCATAAATGTCTGTTGTAGCTGCTTAAAAGAACAAAGTTGTTGCAGGCTTCTGTACTTTTGGAACTGAAAGGTGGCCTTGAGGGGTATGAACAGTTTTTACCACTTCTCACCTTTCTTGGGCTCTATCCTTGATTAGAAGATAGAGGCTGCTGCTGCTAGGTCCTGATATGTCTAGAACACATCATATAATGCTCTGATGTGATCCAATTTTTCATTAGCTAGTTTTCAGTAGAAGCCAGGTCTGTATGATTAGAATTGGTCCTTTATTGACCCTCATTTCTAATAATGATTTGAGGGGAGGGGGGTTAGTTGGGGAAAGTTAGGTTTTCCTGGGCCCTTGATGCTATAGAGAAGATTCAGAACTGAGGGTCTTTCAGTGTATCTTTTGAACACTCTTGGATTCTCCCTTAGTCCCTCTAGAACTAAGTGTAGTACATGATTACTAGAGCCTTTAGTGTAATAGTCAACACACTGTATTTACCAGGCATTGTTAGAAGTACTTTACATGTATTTATTTAGTTCTCACATAGCCCCATGAAGTGGGTTTTATTTAAGGGGTATTTGCTTCTGAGATCCTACAGGTATCTTGGCACTGCAGAGAAATGTTAGCGGAGATAATAAATAGTCCCATACATCAAGATGGGAGGGAATTTTGGATCCACTTTTGTCTTTGACCAAGCCACTGAACTTACCTGAGACTTAACTATATTTTCAAAAACATTCATCTTGTATTCAAAATAAACCAAACCTTGCCAAAGCCAAGTCCTAGCAAGTACCAGGTTTTAAATAGCAGAGGAAAGTTATCATGGACCAGTGGATGTAGTGGGTGAGGCTCTGGGACTAACCCAGCCCCTCACCCTGCTGGGATTCTGGGTCTTGCAGGTAAGTGTGGTAAGGGGATGCTCAGAGGCTACTGGGCTAATCTCCCCTGAGGGCAGGGGCAAACCCAAAAGGGCCCAGCGCTGGGCTGGTGGAGTGGAAAAGTAGGCTTTCTGCTCTTCTGAGTAGCGCTCCTGGGGTGTCACAACATCTCGGTAAGCCCAGTCACGCCAGTGGAAATTGAATCCTTCAAGCAGAGTGATGCGATCAGCTCTTGTAGGAACACAGTCTGGTGGCTTTGTGGGTAACAGGTCTGGTACCTCTATCCCTGGCAGCAATACCACCCCTCGGATGGCAAACCAGCCCCCAAATCGGGGGTGTATACACACACCTGATATGTGCTGGGGAAGAAGGTAGAGATACACAAGGTCACTTTGGCACCAGGTCTACTTACCATCACTAAGCTATACTTCACCTAGTGCTTAATGAAATGGACACTGATTCCATATAGAAACCTGTCCTTTCTTTCCTGAGTAACCCTTTCATAGGCTCATTCTGACTAAGAGGAAGGGCTCCTTAGGCTGAGTCTGAATCAGCCTGTCAGTTCTGCCACTCATCACAGTTTGTCCCCCTCCATCCTGAAATACCACCACTCTTGTCAGTTTGTCATACTGTGGTGGCTTATGAGTTGATGTGATTCTGAAAGCTATGCCACTGGTATTTTAAGTACCAGCAGGGTCACCCATGGTGGACAGGTTTCAGATGAGCTTCCAGACAAAGACAGACTAGGAAGAATGAGTGATGAACTACTTTGACTAGTCACTGAAAACCTTATGAATAACAGAAACACTCCCATATAGTGCTGGAAAAAGAGCCCCTCAGGTTGGAAGGCACTCAAAATGAGACTGGGGAAGAGCTGCTTCCTCAAAGTAGAGCTGACCAGTTGATGCGAATGGCGAAAAGCCCTTGGGGCCTTCATTTGTTGATGGGGCACGACTCAAATGAAAACAAACAGCTGTAAACATCCATTGAAAATTTGAATGTGGAATGTATGGAGTGTGAACTGGGGAAAATTGGAAGTTGTCAAAATGAAATAACACATAAACATTGGTATCTTGGGTATTAGTAAGCTGAAATGGACTGGTATTGGCCATTTTGAATGTGACAACCACAGGGTTTACTATGCCGGGAATGACAAATTGAAGAGGATTGGTGTTACATTCATTGTCAAAAGGAACATACCCAGATGAGTCATGAGGTATGATGCTGTAAGTGATAGGATAATATCCATGCGAGGCTTTCTGCTCCCGCAAAGATTTATAGCCTCAGAAACCCTGCACAGGGTCTCTATAGGTCGAAACTGCCTTGACAGCACTTAACAACAACAGGGAAGCCCAGTTAATACAACTATTATTCAAATTTATGCAGTAACCACTAAAGCCAGTGAGGATGAAATAGAAAAATTCTACCAACTTCTTCAATCTGAAATTGATCAAGCATGCAATCAAGATGTATTGATCATTACTGGTGATTGGAATGCAAAGGTTGGAGGCAAAGAGGAAGGATCAGTAGTTGGAAAATACGGCATTGGTGATAGAAATGATGCTGGAGAACACATGATAGAATTCTGCAAAATCAATGATTTGTTCATTTGAAATACCTTTAGACAGCATAAGAGACGACTATACACATGGACCTCAATCAGGCTGCGAACCTTAAGGTCAGTGGTTCGAAACTACCAGCCGCTCCGTGGGAGAACGATGAGGCTTTCTACTCCCGCAAAGATTTACACCATCAGAAACCCTGTACAGGGTCGCTATGGGTCGGAACTGACTCAACGGCACTTAACAACAACATACATATGGACCTCACCAGATGGAATACATAGAAATCAAATTGACTACATCTGCGGAAAGAGAAGATGGAAAAGCTCCAGATCATCAGTCGAAACAAGGTCAGGGGCAGACTGTGGAACAGATTATTACTCATATGCAAATTCAAACTGAAGCTGAAGAAAATGAAAACAAGTCCACGAGAGCCAAAATATTATCTTGAATATATCCCACCTGAATTTAGAGATGATCTGAAGAACAGATTTGATACAATAAACACTAAAGACAGAAAACCAGAAGAGTTGTGGGATGACATCAAGAACATCATACATGAAGAAAGCAGAAAGTCACTGAGAAGACAAGAACGAAGGAAAAGGTCAAAATGGATGCCAGAAGAGACAATGAAACTTGCTCTCCAGCATAGAGATGCTCAAGCAAATGGAAGAAATGAAGTCCAAGAGCTGAACAGAAAATTTCAAAGATCAGCTCGAGAAGATAAAGCCAAATATTACAACAAAATACGCAAAGATCTGGAATCAGAAAACCAAAAAGGAAAAACACGATCAGCATTTCTTAAGCTGGGGGAACCAAAGAAAAAATTCAGCCTCGACTTTCATTATTGAAAGATTCTCTAGGCAAATTATTGAATGACACAGAAAGCATCAAGAGAAGATGGAAGGAATACACAGAATCACTGTACCAAAAGGAAATGGTTAATGTTCAACAGTTTCAACAGGTAGCATATGATCAATAGCCAATTATACTGAAGGAGGAAGTCCAAGGTGCACTGAAGAACAAGGCAGTAGGAATTGATGGAATAAAAATTGAAATCTTTCAACAAAGTGAGGTGGCACAGCAGGCACTCACTCATCTCTGCCAAGAAATTTGGGAGACAACTATATGGCAGACTGATTGGAAGAGATCCATATTTGTGCCCATTCCAAAGACAGGTTACCCAATGGAATGTGAAAATCATCAGACAATCTCTTTGATATCCCATGCAAGTAAAGTTTTACTAAAGGCAATACAGAAATCGCTACAATCATACATTGACAGAGAAATTCCAGAGGTTCACACCCATTTAGAAGAAGCTGTGGAACAAGGGATATCACTGCTGATGTCCGATGGATCTTGGTTAAAAGCAGAGAATATCAGAAAGATGTTTACCTGTGTTTTATTGACTACACAAAGGCTTTTGATTGTGTGGATCATGACAAGCTATGGACAACACTGTGAAGTATGAGTATTCTTGAACACTTAATTGTGCTCATGAGGAATCTGTACCTGGACCAAGAAGCAGTTGTTTGAACAGAGCATGGGAACACTGACTGTTTTAAAATTGGGAAAGGTGGGAGACAAGGTTGTATTCTTTCACCATACTTATTCAACCTGTATGCTAAGCAAATAATCTGAGAAGCTGGGTTCTATGAAGAAAAACGTAGCATCAGTATTGGAGGAAGACTCATTAACAACCTGCGATATGCAGATGATACAACCTTGCTTGCTGAAAGTGAAGAGGACTTAAAACATTTACTAATGAAGATCAAAGAGCACAGCCTTCGGTATGGATTACATCTCAATGCCAAGAAAACAAAAATCTTCACCACTGGACCAATAAACAACATTCTTATCAATGGAGAAAAGATTGAAGTTGTCAAGGACTTCATTCTTCTTGGATCAACTATCAACACTCATGGAAGCAGCAGTCAAGAAATCAAACGACATACTGCATTAGGCAAATCTGCTGCACAAGACCTTTTTTTAAAATGTTGAAGAGCAAAGATGTCAGCTTGAGGACCAAGATGCGCCTGACCCAAGCCATGGTGTTTTCAATGACCTCATATGCATGCGAAAGCTGGACAGTGAATAAGGAAGACCGTAGAAGAATTGATGCTTTTGAGTTACGGTGTTGGAGGAGACTATTGAAAGTGCCATGGGATGCCAAAAGAAGCAACAGATCCGTTTTGGAAGAAGTGCAGCCAGAGTGCTCCTTGGAGGCCAAGATGGCCAAACTTTGTCTCTCATACTTCGGACATATTGTCAGGAGGGACCAGTCACTGGAGAAGGATATCATGTTTGGTAAGGTGGAGGGTCAGAGAAAATGGAAGACCCCCTCCATTGAGATGGATTGGCCAAGTGGCAGCATTGATGGATTCAAGCATGGGAACAGTAGTGAGGTTGGCCCAGAATCAGGCAGTGTTTCGTTCTGCTGGGCATAAGGTTGCTATGGATCGGTACTGACTCGATGGCACCTAACCAAAACAATCCTGAAATAGTCTTGTAAGAAAGGCTCTTAAGAACAGAGCAGTTTCTCCAATTTTATGTCCCAAGCAGACTCCAAAAGGTAGGCTGTGGGGTTGACCTATGGTCAGAGCACAGCTGCTTTCTCCTGGAATGTGTGTAGTGTACCAACTCCCATCCAGAGGAAGTAGGGATATGGGAGAAGCTTTCATCTTCTAAGCCCCCACCCATTCACTTGCCCTCTGACCTGGGTCCCCCAGGGGTCAGCCTCCACATCCTGTCGTTGGTAGTAGTAAGCAGCCCCTGCAACATGAGCTGCCGTCTGGGCCAGAATCTTGGGGCGTCGGTTCGGTTGTACCTCATAGTCAGTGATGACTTGCATCTGCAGCTCTGGGAGGCTCTAAGATAAAGGACAAGGTGAATGCTCATGTCAATACAAGGGGAATCTTGAGTTTGTGGGAAGCCCTAGTTTAGTGTGTATTAATATTTTTCTGGAATCCTGGTGTGGCACTGTGGGTTAAAGTGCTGGACTGCAAGGTGGGTTTCAGCCGCAAGGTAAGCGGTTCAAGCTCACCAGCCACTCATCAGAAACCCTATAAAGGGTCACTGTGTTGGAACCAACTTGACAGTTAACATAATTCTGGGAGTGCAGTTGCTCCATATGAATGGACTACAGAACTTAACATTGCCTTGTCCTCCGAAGTTCTACTTAAAGGTGAGAATATGACTTTAAAATGGATGAGACTCCAGTATGGAGAGTTATAGTTCTATTCTGGAGAGCCCATGTTTGAAGGTCTTGCTCAGAAACCTTCAAAGGGTACCTTTGGCCCTTTCCTCAAGATCTGCAATGTAGAAGAGGTCATGGCTTAGTTTTGGGAAGACTCAAAATATGCGTGAGAATGTGCGTGGTTGGAAAACACTTTAGTGCTCAACATACCCTGCAGCCAAAATAATGCTGCCTGGAGTTGTCAGCCCTATTTCTGTTGTAGTTGGAAGCCAAACCTGCTCTGAGGCTCACATAAAGGTTGCCAATTAGTGTAGGATTAGTGTGAATGATTTCAGATATTGGGGGGGGGGGTGGCTGTTACCAGAGAAAGGTGGCTCAACCTGGGGTGAAAAGGCACAATGGGGAGAGATGATCACAGAATGTCAAAGCTGGCTGGCTTCAGAATATCCCATAGCCCCCAGTCTAGATCATGCAGTGAGGACGGGAGCCTAGCTTACCTCTCTAACTCGGCTCAAGTGGTAGGCCACACACTGGTCCACAGGGTCGGTCAGTGGTTGGAGACGGCAGCTCTGCAGGAAGGGCTTTAGGGCTCGGTCAAACATGGCAGGTGTGCTGAGCACCAGGAAAGCCAGGGTAGGTCCTGGTAGGGGTAGGTGGAAGGCTGGAGGCAGGAGTGCATTGTACCATGCCACCTGTTCAAAAAATGTTCATACCATTCATACCACCTCGGCTTCTAAGTCAAGAGGGTTATCCTAGGCCTTAGGCAGACCTATACCTTAGCCTGGCATTCAAGAACTGATATACTTCATCCTACCCAGCCTCTGGTAGTGTAGTGGTTATGAATCGGGCTGCTAATCTCACGGTCAGCAGTTTGAAATTACCAGCTGTTCTGCAGGAGAAAGATGAGGCTTTCTGCTCCTGTAAAAATTTATATCCTCAGAAACCCTATGCAGGGTCGCTATGAGTTGGAACCGACTCCACGGCACATAACAACAACCCAGCCTTTATCTTCATTGTTAAGTGATGTCAAGCTGGTTTCAACTCAGTAACCCTGTACAGGGTCTCCAAGGAGCTGCTGGTGAGCTTGGACTGCCAACCTTGCAATCCAGCACATTAACTCACAGCACCACACCAGGATTCCATTGCTGAGTGACTATTAACTGGTGTATGTGGAAGAAGTACCCCCCAGAATGTTCCTTAGAAGCCAGGATGGCCAGACTTCCTTTATCATACTTGAAGACATATTATCAGGAGGGAATAGTCCCTGGAAAAGGACATCATGCTAGGCAAAGTGGTTGGTTAGTGAAGAAGAGGGAGACCCCCAATGAGATGGATTGGCATAGTAGCAGCAGCAATGGTCTAAGCAATACTCTAGCAATATTCTTGAGCAATACTCAAGCATAGTAACAATTGCGAAGTTGGCACAGGACTAGACAGTGTTTCATTCTGTTACACATAAAGTCACTATATGACACCTAACAACGTGTATGGAGACTATAGAGGCAGAGAGATCATGAATAACTAAGAATACAAACTGATAATACAGTAATAGTACAATGACAGGGCCAGATGAAAACCTGAAATTAGAAAACACTTTTGGGGCAGCCAAATCTTGAGGGCTGGGAAGGAAAGTGACAGGTAAACATGAGGTGGATCTGGCGTGCATTCTTTGCAAAGGTCACAACATAAGCAAAGACAGGCAGAAAAGTATTGGGCATATTTGTAGAATAGTATATTGTTTAGTGGAAAGGTCTGTAGAGGGAAGCAGAGGGAGAGGTGATTAGGGGTGAGATTATGACAGAACACCAATTTAAAGTGGATCTAATTTGGCAATAAGAAGGGGAACCATTGAAAACTTGAGTAAACTCACATCAGTTTTAAAAGATCAACCTGGCTGCAGTGTAAAGAACTGAGGCAAGATGACAATAAAGGAGATTACTGCAATAATCCAAATGAGAAAGGAAGGTGGCCTGTACCCCAGCAGAGATGGGTGGGAAGGAAGGAAATGGATTTGGGACAGATTCAGAATAAGAACTCCTGGTGTGGTGCTGTAGGATCAGTACTGGACTATGAGTCACAAGGTCAGCAGTTCAAACCTCAGAAACCCTACAAAGGAGGGATGGGGAACCTTTTTTCTGCCAAAATATATAATATCATTCATTGGCCAGACAAAATTATCAAATTACAAATTAGCCTGCTATAATTGGTCAAACATTTAATTAACTCACCCTTAATGTGATATGGAGTCCTGGTGTGGCTCTGTGGGTTAATGCGCTGGACAGCAAAACCAGTTTGAACTGCAAGGTTGGTGGTTCAAGTTCACCAGCCACTCCTTGGAAACCCTACACAGGGTCGCTATGGGTTGGAACCGACTCAACAGCACTTAACAACAAATGTGATGGCTATTCATAAGGTTTTCAGTGACTAAATATTTGGAAGTAGTTCATCTCTCCTTCCTAGTGTGTCTTCATCTGGAAGCTCATCTGACACCTGTCAACCGTGGGTGACCCTATTGGTATTTAAAATACCCGTGGCATAGGTTTCAGAATCACAGCAACTCACAAGCCACAAATACTCACAAGCACAACAAGGAGCTCTGATAGCATAGTGGTTACAAGTCGAACTGCTAACCAAAACTACCAGCCATTCCATGGGAGAAAGATGAGGCTCCCTGCTCCCATAAAGATTTACAGTCTTGGAAATCCTATCCAGGGGTTACTACATGGCACACCACCACCACCACTAATGTGTTGGCTGGAGTCCTGGTGTGGCATTGTGGAATAAAGCAGTGGACTGCAAGGTCCATTTGAATTACAAGGTCGGTGGTTTTAACCAGCCAGCCGCTCCTTGGAATCTGATACAGGGTTGCTATGAGTCAGAACCGACTCGATGGCACTTAACATGATAACTGGAACTGCAGTTGTCTTGGCAGGGTCAGACCAAATGATTTCGCAGGACTTATATGGCCCATTGTGCTCCATCCCTGCTATACAGGGTTGCTATGATTTGGAACTGACTTGACGACACTTAACAATAACAGGACTTGGTGGTGTAGTGGTTATACATAGTACTGCTAACCCAAGGTCAGCAGTTCAAACCATAGGACAAAGATGAGACTATCTGCTCCTGAAAAGATGTATAGTCTCAAAAACCCTAGGGAACAGTTCTACTTTGTCCTGTCGGGTCACTATGAGTCAGAACTGGCTCGAAGGCAGTGGGTTTGGGATAGGTCTTGATGGTTGACTGAATGTGAGGATGGACCTTGGGATAACCAGCAGGATCTCAGCAGTCTCTGGTGTACAAGTTCCCACTACCTACACCTCCCTCTTCCTTCAGATAACTGTCCTCACTCTCTTTTATACATGCGGTCCACCACTACCGCCACACCTTAACTCGCGCTGTTCCTAATGTTTAGGATGTATATAACCCTCCTCCTTTTCAACCCCTCTATTCCCGTATATAGCTCAATCCTATATTCCCTAGGAAGTTTACCCTCTCAAATTAGACCCAACCTATCTTTTTCCCTATTTATCCCGTCCAGCACTCAATGCAGAGTATGGGGAGTAGGTAGTTTCTTCAGCATCACGCAAAGAACTCAAGTTGATTTTACTTAAACTGTGTACAAGCATGCTGCTCAGGGCAAGATGAGAGGGAAAAGAGTCTAAGTAAACAAGTGAGGGTAGGGTTGGAGGGGTGATACTGACACTTCTGTGCCAGGCGAGCTCACAGAATTTCTACCCAGCCCCGTGCTGGGCAATATCATGAATTATCCTTCTGTTGGTAGATGGAACAAATCAGTCAATTGTTTGCTTGTTTCACGCCTTCCTCCGCAGCTGACTTAAATTCTAGCCATGTAATTCCAGGCTTTAAGGAGCTCTGGTAGCGTAGTGGTTACGAATCAGGCTGTGAGCCTCAAGGTCAACAGTTCGAAACTACCAGCTGTTCCACGGGAGAAAGATGAGGCTTTCTGCTCCCGTAAAGATTTACAGCCTCGGAAACCCTGTACAGGGTCGCTATGAGTCGGAACCGACTCCACGGCACACAGCCACCACCAATTCTAGGTCTTGCTCTCCTCTCAGGAAGTTTCAGAGGTGACTCTTGTCCACGTGTCCCTTTCTTCCTCTGAATTATGTAATAATCATCAAGGTCACACAGGTTACTGGATCATATGGTGTCTCCCATTCATCAATTTTACACTATATGGGAGTAAAAGTTTCTCTTCCTTTTTAACCCAAGTCCCAAATAACACCCTTGTCCTAGTTTGTCAGATGAGACACTGGCCAGAGGCTCTTGGGAAGGAGTCAAAGGCTCCCGGGTCCTCATAGCGGTAGCACCGAGACCAGTTATACACCTTGCCTTAGCAACGCTGAAGGGATAAACCAACCTGGAAAGGATAAACCTCGAAGCCAAAAGGGCACAACGTATCCTCAATTTTCTGCTTCAATTCTGCGACTTGCGGCTCCATAGCACACGCTATACGCTAAGCTTGCTGGGAAATGTAGTCTGAAGGCTAAATTTGACCGTTAGTTTCTTAGTAACTTGGACTCCATTTCCCAGGAACGACTGAGACGAGCAGCGGGACGTGGTTGACTGCGTGATGCATCTTGGGATACGTAGCTTATTTGGTCCTCAGAGCCAAATGCTACAGGATTAAAAAACTCGGTTTTCCGGCAAGCTTCACGGTAGGGGTGTAACTACACTGTTACTTCAAGGGAAACATAGTTCCGCCGCCTCCGTTGCCGGTTGTCTCCGCGAGGAGCGAACTCAATTTCCCAGGTAGCACTGCGATAGCGCGTCTAAGGTTTGTTTTTCTGGCCTCCCGGAGGGTTTGAAACTCTCGGCGGCAATAGTCTTTGGCAGAGGTTTGACGCAATGGCGTCTGTGTCCGGAATCTGGGCCGGTCTCAACCAATATTCGGCGCCTTCAGCTCCTACCTGACATCTATTTACTAGGGTATTCTGCTTTTTCCCCAGTTCCCCCAGAGCTCTGCTCCCTTGACTTGCTCCCAGAGTCTCGGTTCTCATCTAGTATTGAATCCATACACTATTATTACTTCCCCACCACTTGCTTTTGATCTGACATTGTGGTCTCTCCTGGCTGTGGCTCGATATCCTCTCTGGGAGAGCAAGGGCCTCAGCCGCAGGATATGAGTAGGGGCCTGAGCTGGACTGAACAACTCAATGCACTTCTCAGTGCCACTGATGGAAACGTGGCCAGGATTAAGGTGAGAGCACAGGAAATCCCTGTTTTGGGGGTCGGGTTAAAAGACTCTCAGACAGGACTCATTGGATTGTGCATCTGTTTCTTTTGTAGCAGCAGCTATATCCCCTTGGGGTCTTCACCGCAGGTAGGTATTATTCCCTTTCTATCTTCCAGCCTTCACTTTCCAGGATCTGCTTTCATCCAATGCCTGTACCATTTAGTCCTTCCTCCTTCCAAATTATAATTCTTTTTCCTGAATTCTGTTCCATCATACAGAGTTGTCCCTTGTCTCTTCCTTATTCCCAAAGCAGGGGACCTGGCTGGAACGTGGACTTCTCCACTTTACATGCCTCTCCAGTCTGGAGTCCGAGCTCAACAGCCCTGGACTCTGGATATTCCTCCCATTATTCCAAAGGGACTGAGCTGGGCTGAGGCCCACAGTCCATCCTCTCTCTGGGATGAAGTTACTGTTCACCGATCCCAGCTTAGATCTCAGGCTCAGGTGAGGTGTGTGTATGTGTATGTTTTTTGTTTTTTGAGATACAGATAGTAGGGATTGGGTAAGTCCTTCATATAGTTGCTCATGTGCTTCTTTTGCCTGAGTAGGTGATTGATGCACTAAAGCAGTCTGTGCAGAGCCTACTGGAAGAACGAGAGCAGCAGAAGCACCAGATCTCTGCCCTGGAAGGTATCTGGTTAGCCAGTTCTTTCCCATGCACAGCCTCATATGTATGCACCCAATTTTGCTGCACATCTATTGTGTGTGTGCATGAGTCTTGATTTGCAAAGAGGGCCTCAGGCCTCATGTGTGAAGCTCTGAATAGGGCTGATCCCCAACTTGTCTAACTACAGCATCACTAAGGTTGCTGCAGGGGAGCCCAGAAAGGAGGTTCCTTCTTCTTGAGCAACGCCTAGAAGGACTTAGAAGAGAATTGCAGAGCCTTCGGAGACAGGTGCAGGAGCAGACCCAAGCCCAGATGCAGCCAGGATCAGGAAAGTACAATGATACCAGGGGCCTTCACCAGGAATTACAGAGTGAGTAAGTGATGGGTAAGACCTCTGAACTTCTGATACTTTGGAAGGTTGGTGGCTTCCTCCCTCCAGCTTGTTGGGTAGCTCTAGAATGACACTGTTGTCACCCATGCAGGCGGCATCTGCTGTGGAAGGAATCAGAAATTCTGCAGGAGGAACTGAAGTTGCTACAGGACCAACTGAGTAAGTAAAAGACTGGGGGTGGTGCTCTCTCGTTCCCCTTTGCTGGCAAATTATTTAGCTTTCCCAGTTAGTGGCCACAGCTCTGTTTGAGCTACTAAGAAGTCTGGCCAAGTATCTTGTCTTGCACTTTGCCTCTCATGGTGTGTGTATAGTTTTCCCACTCAGCTTGGAAGCTTTCTAACAGCTAGGCCAAAATGCTTCTGTCATTTTAGCACTAGGCAGGACACAAAGCAGGAAGAGAGACAGAAAGAGGGTAGGGAACAGCTCCTGTACAGTTGTGCCTGCAGGCCAGCACCAAGAGTTGCTGGTGAAACAGATGACTGACTGAGGGGCAGAAGGTAGGACCAAGATTAGGGTTGTCTCCTTAGGTCTCCTCATGGGGCCCCTTCCTTTGTCTATCCATCTGTTCTACAGACTGGCTAGAGCACCCTCTCCCTCCCATGTTTCCCTCTCTTGTGATGATTCAACGTTTCTCCAAAGTCGTCTTCCTAATCCTCCCTAGGCCATGTGAAATCCAAATGAGGGTTCCAAGTGTGCTGAAGTGGCCTATCACGGGGAGGGGTTTTCCCATGGAGAGGGTGAGATTTGGTCCACCTAGGCCCACGGTCTAGCACATGTTGGAGCAACTACAAAGTGGTCAGGAGGGTAAGGGTCATGTCCTGGAGGCTCCCAGGGTAGAGGCCCAGGATGCCTGGTAGGAGTTCAACCTCTTCAGGTCAGGGGGTATGGGTGCTATGGCAGTGGAGGGAGCTTGTCTCACAGAAGTGGACACTGGGGACCAAAGTGCATCTGTCCTAGATTTTGCCTGGGTTTTTGCTTATGGGGCAATTGAGAATTCTTCACTTACTACAGGCATTGAGGTATCTTTATTATACCTTTGCATGATAAAGGGAGAGGAGAGGAGGACAGTTCTGTGCTGGGAGGGTTCCCCTGATCCACCATCACCACCTCTGCTTCTGATTTTTTCTTTCCCTTCCAGGACCTCCATTTATGTCCTCCAATCCAAGCAACCTCTGACTACTTCGTCATGTCCATTTCTTCATCTAGCTCTGAAGTCAGTCTTCTAGACAGTAACAGTAGCTGGGAACTTTTAAGGAAGCTAGGTGGGAGTAAAGGCTGAGATTCTAGTTCTGGGGGAGGCTGAATCTGAATGGTCCCTGGATGCCAGCTGCCTAATTGCTTTGCACTGGGTAGAATGGAGTCTCTGCCTCTTTCTTTATGGATTCATTAACCCCCAAAGCTAGTTATCCCCAGTCAGGCCTGTATGTCTCTCCCTATCAAAGAGATGCAATGCCTAGTTTTGTGCCTATTGCTGTGCTTGCAGATGATTTGTTCTCTTTACTTTTTCCTTCCCTCAGATCTCCCAAGGAGCACCCTGTCTAACTTGGATGCCAACAGCTTTCAGCTCCAGGCCCAGAGCCTTGAACAGGAGGACCTATCCCATCAGGGCTTCAAGGTCCTTATGAATGACTTGTAAAGACTTATAGGAATAGTGGAATGAAGCCTTATGTACCCACCCTTAAGGCCCAGTTTCTGGGTCCCTTACCCCTTTCCTCTTGATGTAACTGGTATCTGCCTACCCTACTGAGGCTTCTCACTGCCTATGCCTCACACTTTCAAAATGCAATAAAATGGTTTAATCCTCCCTGGTATGTTTTCTGTGAATAAGTACGCACATGGGATATACTCTGCTATACCTTTTTCTTCCTCATATTACTTGGCTGCTTCCTACTACCTCTACCTTTAAAATTCAAGTTTATAAACATTTATAGCTGTATCTTCTGAGTGAAAGTCCTGTGCTCGGTCAAACTTGGTAGGAGATGGAGGCTTGCAGTCTGGTTGATAGAATGAAGTTGGAACTGCTCTGGGATACTAGTACTGTAGGGATGTGCACATTCTAGTGGGCCTGGAGAGCTGGGCAACAGGAAACTTCTCATCTTCATTTTCTGCCTTTTAAGTCTAACTCCATTCTTTCCACTCTTCCTTATCCTCAGTGATCTTGCCTCCATTCCTGCAGCAGCCTCCTCCCTGGTCTCTCTTTATTTAGTCTTTGTGCCTATCATCCAATGGCTTTCAAAATTTTTCTGACAGCACCCCCCAAAGCAAGAAATAGTTTACATTGTGACCTAGTAAATATGCTAGGTCTGTTGCTAAGTACTGATGAGTCAGTGCCAACTCCTGGTGCCTTGTTCTTTGCCAATTCCTTCAATGCACCTTGGACTTCTTCCTTCAGTATCATTGGTTCTTGATCTTATGCTACTTCTTGAAACGGTTGAACATCAACTATTACCTTTTGGTACAGTGACTCTGTGTATTCCTTCCATCTTCTTTTGATGCTTTCTGCATCATTCAATAATTTGCCCAGAGAATTCTTCAATAATGAA